GCTCTCTAGGCCTTACGGTTTGTTCTGCCCGTTCAGTTTTAGGGAAGAATAATAATAATAATAATAATAATAAAAATCCTTACAATTACAATAGGGTTTCAGCACTGCGTGCTTGAACCCCTAATAATAAAACAGCCGGCTCAGGAGGAACATCAACAGCAAAAAAAACTGTATGATAATAGGAGAAGAGATAAAGGTAGGCTACAATATACTTGTATAGATGGGCCTTGTCATAATAACCTTGTCGCAGCAATTTCCTTGAATCGGACACTTGACTATGTCAGGCAAACGTGTTTAAAATGAGCACACAGGCAGTTAATTTATGATGTGCCGAGATGTTTCCATTAAAACAGCGGTTCATACATCTTCCTATTAATTTACGTATTGCGCATTTTTAGCTAAAGTTGGGAGTCTCCCTCTATGGTAGGAGCTCCGATGTAATTCACACATTTCACCACAGGAGGGCGTTAATTTGCGTTTCGCTGACTGCAATTTTGTCATTTACAGATCTAAGAATATTTTTCTGCTAATCAAAAGAGAGGATTTAGCAAATGTAATCAACACCTAGTAAATCGCAGGATACTCAACAATGTATTAAATGATATTAATTCAATGTAATGCCAACGCCTCGAGTTATAACCGCAATTAATAGCAGCAATGTAATTCACATAATTCACCACAGGAGGGCGTTTGGTTAAGTTCTTTTGATCCGCATGGAGGAAGGCAGTTGATTTCTTTCCGCTGACTCAAATATTTAACTACACATTAAAAATATTCAATCAATACAAAATAATATATAACTAAAAATGTTACTTTGGTTTAAAAAAAACAGGAGGGTTTTGTGATTGGTTAGGTCCCTTTCCCTTTGATTCTCATGTTTTAAAAATATATGTATTTCCTCTGTGCCGTAAACAAAAAATAAATAAATGTAAAAAATGTAATACACAATTCACCAGTTGCATTCCACTGATTTGTTTTATTTATTTAATGTATATTACAGCCGTGATGTACCATTTCTTCGTCTGCGGCCCAAGACATTGGATAGACTCCAGATCCTCTCGACCCTACAGTGGACAAGCAGTTTGAAGAATGGATGTGTGGATAAGAATCTAAGTATATATTTGTACTAAAGAAAATAAATTATTTACCAGATGTGTGTTTTGTAGTTTTTTTCTTTTGCATTCGTGTAATGAGATTATTAATATTAATATTAAATCAATACAAAACCATTTAATTTCAAGGTTTACGTCTGGCTCAAGTTATAGCTGAAATAAATTCCGTGTAATTCCCTCAATTCACCACAAGAGGATGTTCAAAGTTATTTTAATTTGCTTATTTTAAAAATGTAACAAATCATGAAATAGAACACAACAATACAAGAGAATCCTTTATCATTTAAGTTATTTTTAATAATAAGAGATATTTTCTAAATATTTCTGATATTGAATAAACAGTATATAATTTTCAATGTAAAATAAATAAATGCAAATTTTCCAAGTTGCAGCATTGTGCAATACACAAAATTCACCACAAGAGGGCATGAAACATTCTTATTAATGGTGTCTAAAAGAAATGACCATATCTTTGCTAAGTAACAGTTACATGTGTTTAAGATGTGAAACATAAAAATAAAGTAAATAAAGTCTCTCAGTTTATTGGATGTTATGGTGTGTCTCTTTTAAATTACTCTTGAATGAATAAATCATAAATCTGTTGAAAATGAAAAGGTTACTATGATTGATCTTGAATAAATGAGCTTCACAGCTGATCAAACGTCTTGAGTCTCAGAGCAGATGAGAAGAGCTTCAGTCTGGAGTTCCTGAGACTCTGAGGGCTGTTTGCTCGTTACAGAGATCCCATGAGGCTCATGAGAAGTGTCAGTGTCAGAGATGTGAGTGTGGCCCTCCTGTAGAAAATCCTGGTTCAAATCTTCTGTGCTTTAAAATGATCAAGACCAAAGTGGTATGAGTGCGTCTCCTTGAAGGGGAGTATACAGATGTGGGAAAAGTTATGATTGGCTGTTGATATTGCTTTGCATTGGAAGCATGTTCTTCTGCTCTCACCCTCTTTGAGATGCACAGTGCATACAAGTTATTAGACTAGTTTTATAGCAGTGATTACTCAAAATCTCTGGAGAAAAATGAAAACTTTTATTAAAATGTTATTTTAACTCAAATTAAAACTTGCCGCGCTTAAGTCAACAACAACGTTCATAAAGAATAATTAAAACAAGTTTTTTAGTTTATTCAAAATGCTGTACAATGCCAGTGACTTGTAAAGACTGTAATTGTGTGTATTTTTTTGTAATTGTGTTATTTACAGTGATGGTGATAGCCTTAATCATTTTATTATTTAAAAGAAAACGCTAATTGTTTTCAAAAACACTTGAGGTTTAAACTACAAAAAAATTAAACTGATAGAAATATATGGTAATGTAGAAAAACAAACAAACAAACAAAAACAAAACAATCCCTGTGGTACGAAGGATGATTGTTCACCTTCGGCTAGGGAAGTACTGGTTCAAGTTCAGCAAGTGTAAGGTTACCTGTGTCACTTAAAGTGAGGTTCAATCTACAGACAAGACAAGAATCACACGTTACCTGGAGTGCAGTGCCTAAACATGAGACTTTGACTTATGATGCTGCAATGCAGTTGTGTTCAAATCACACAGATAAATTGAATGCCTTTTACTTATCCAAACCTTCATTAAAATAAAATTAAAATCTAAATGAAAAACAACACCAGCACAGCATCACCGCTTCTGTGGCTCAGTGGTTAAAGACTTCAGTCTCAAACATGAAAGTCCTTGTTTGAATCCCACATCAATTGAACTTATCCATCATTTAAAACAAAACTCTCACTAAAGGCATACTCAGTGGCTCGGGAGATAAAGCTTTGTTTTCTTATCTGGGAGATCTGAGTACGAATGCCAAAACAAAATGTGAAACCCACAGTGGGTTAGTGGATAAACACACGTTCTCTGAGATGAAGACATGGGATGTACTCCAACAAGAGACCTGTGGCTCACAGGTAAGAGCGCTGCCTCACGGGTTCAGAGGTTGCTGGTTCGATCCCAGCCAGGTCTCTGCGATATGCGTGAATGGTGGAGTGTGTGAAGGCGCGCCCAAAGAAGGGGGATACCAGTACGGTCTCCCCCTGGAGCTTCCCACACTGTGACCAGCAGTGGTTATGCTTTTTGGACAGACTGGAAAATAAAAAGAAAGCTGCATAAAAAATTATCATCCCCCGTCCCTTCCCCAGCTACTTAGGTTACCATCATTTGCTTTTCAAAGGAGAGGCCCTTCAGAAAGAAAATGATGGTAACCTACATGTTTAGTGCACTAGAACACACATTCACACAGTAGATACATCACCTGTCCACGAGCAGATGTCCATCATTACAGTCAGTGTCTGTCCACACGCCCCAGAGCTCTGCTTTCAAGAGACCTGTGGCTCACAGGTAAGAGCGCTGCCTCACGGGTTCAGAGGTTGCTGGTTCGATCCCAGCCAGGTCTCTGTGATATGAGTGGAGTGTGTGTGAAGGCGCGCCCAAAGAAGGGGGATACCAGTACGGTCTCCCTCTGGAGCTTCCCGCACTGTGACCAGCAGTGGTTATGCTTTTGGACAGACTGGAAAATAAAAAGAAAGCTGCATAAAAATTATCATCCCCCGTCCCTTCCCCAGCTGCTTAGGTTACCATCATTTGCTTTTCAAAGGAGAGGCCCTTCAGAAAGAAAATGATGGTAACCTACATGTTTAGTGCACTAGAACACACATTCACACAGTAGATACATCACCTGTCCACGAGCAGATGTCCATCATTACAGTCAGTGTCTGTCCACACGCCCCAGAGCTCTGCTTTACAATCCACAGCACAGCACTTATTCTGTTCAGTCAAGACAGAAATAAAGACATTATTAGACATATTGTTCATCAAGTCTAAAAACAGGTAACACAACTAGAGAAATATATTAATGTTACATAATTCTAAAATACTGCAGACAGACACTATTATACTTCAGTAATGCTCTATCAATCAGTTTCATTCAATCTACTGTTCGTTTCGGTTTAGTTCACGAGCAAATGATTTGCAATGAAAACCAATCGCAAAATGTCCAGTCACTGTCTATAAACTGCTATAACATCAAATTTAATTTTTGTAACATCTTGCTTTTAATAATTTACGACATATATATATATATATATATATATAATAAAAAAGCATTTAAATGGCTGTGCTCTTTTTATGGCAGTCAGAACTAGAAGCAGAAAAAAGCATGAAGCAGCAGAGCTTCACACAACACCTGCTGCAGTATCAACAAACAGAAACAAAGAGAGCGATTCCTTATTATTACACTTTATAATGTCAATATCAGAGGGCGACTCGGTCAGAGATTATAAACGTAACGCAACAATTACCGATTAATTTGCTATACAGCGCGTGCAAGTCATTTAACAAGAGACATTCGCTTCATGCATAAAGTTACTTACAGGTGAGTCGCGTGACACTCAATTCCAGCGTTTTATCGGACCGTGTGTCGGTTTCATTTGTTGATTAGCTGAAAAACATGTTTTTATAATGATATTAATAGCTGTCATCTGCACGTGTTGTTGTGACTGTCATCAAGCGTCTTGTTGTCAAGCAGCTGAAGGTGTCGGACTGAAGGTGAAACCCGCTTGCGCCGCCTAGAGGAGCGGATGAGAAACGGCACTTTAGTGTCTGTCATTCTATTGAGTTATAGTGCCAAGATTACGTTTGAGAATCATGAAACTGCAATAGAAACATGTTCAAATCTTACATAGGAGTAATGACTAATTCTTGGTCACTGGACTTTTTTGTATATAAATATATTTTAACAAGAACAGAGAGAACAGAACAAATTCCTGTTAAAAGTTCATTAGACTCAATTTGCAGCGCTGTAATTCACAATAATCACCACAGGAGGCCCACTTAGGTCCTCTGACTTTTTTGCATATCAGTTTATTTTAGCAGAAGAGGACAGAACAAAATCACACAGACAATGATATAAAATAGCAATGCACAAAAATTACCACAGGAGGGCGTTCATTAGACTCGATTAAGAGTAGACTCATTAGACATACTGTGGTGGTTTTTATGAATTACACTCGAGTATCATATTTTTAAACTGGTTTCGCCCTCCTGTGGTGATTTTTGTGAATTACAATCAAGTATAATAAACTTCAACTTATTTTGCCCTCCTGTGGTGATTTTTGTGAATTAATATCGAGTATAATAATAATCTTAACCTGGCTTTGCCCTCCTGTGGTGACTTTTGTGAATTAATATCGAGTATAATAAACTTAAACTTATTTTGCCCTCCTGTGGGGATTTTTGTGAATTACAATCGAGTATAATAAACTTAAACTTCTTTGGCTCTCCTGTGGTGATTTTTGTCAATTAAGATCAAGTATAATAATATTAAACTGGTTTCGCCCTCCTGTGGTGATTTTTGTGTATTACACCACTGCAACTGATCAAAATAAATGCTAATGTAAAAGACCAAAGACAACAATGAATTCAAGTCTCTGTGGTACAGAGGATAATTGTTTCACACCTTTAGGTGTGAAAGTACTGGGTCAAATCCAGCAAGTTTTACTTAAAGTACAGTGGTGCAGTAGCTAAACATGAGCCTGTAACTCATGATGCTGCAATGCAGTTGTGTTCAAATCCCACAAACGCATTGATTGTTTTACTCAGCCTGAACCTACATTAAGCTAAACTTAAAATCTAAATGACCCTAAATACAACACCAGCACAACATCAGCTTCTGTGGCTCAGTGGTTAAAGGCTTCAATCTCAAGCATCAAAGTCCTGGTTCAAACCCAGAAGTATTATTCATAATTTAGAACAAATCTCTCAGTTAAGTTCAATACACTCAACAGACTCAGTGGCTCAAGAGATAAAGCTTTGTGTTTGAATCTGGAAGATCGGAGTTCAAATCCCACTATTTCTTACTGTAAATCAATCTCATCCAACAAAGTCATTCAAACACCAAAACATGAAGCGAAATCCACGATGGGTTAGCGGGTAAACACACATTCTCTGAGACCAAACCTGAGATGGAAACATGGGTTCAAATCCCACCTCATTATATCACATACACAGCGTACTTTAACTTCTTTATTGGGAACTCACAAGTCAACAATCCAAAAATAAGTTCCTTCACATGCTCTAACAAGAGACCTGTGGCTCACAGGTAAGAGCGCTGCCTCACGGGTTCAGAGGTTGCTGGTTCGATCCCAGCCAGGTCTCTGTGATATGAGTGAATGGTGGAGTGTGTGTGAAGGCGCGCCCAAAGAAGGGGGATACCAGTACGGTCTCCCTCTGGAGCTTCCCGCACTGTGACCAGCAGTGGTTATGCTTTTGGACAGACTGGAAAATAAAAAGAAAGCTGCATAAAAATTATCATCCCCCGTCCCTTCCCCAGCTGCTTAGGTTACCATCATTTGCTTTTCAAAGGAGAGGCCCTTCAGAAAGAAAATGATGGTAACCTACATGTTTAGTGCACTAGAACACACATTCACACAGTAGATACATCACCCGTCCACGAGCAGATGTCCATCATTACAGTCAGTGTCTGTCCACACGCCCCAGAGCTCTGCTTTACAATCCACAGCACAGCACTTATTCTGTTCAGTCAAGACAGGAGTAAAGACATTATTAGTAAAAAAAAACAGGTAATAAAAATAGCTAAATATATTAATGTTGCATAGTTATAAAATACTACAGACTCTATACTATTATACGTCAGTAATACTGTATCAATCAGTTTCATTCAATCTACTGTTCGTTTCGGTTTAGTTCTGGTGATGTTATTAAATTACTTTCTTGCAGGCCACAAAAAAAAAAATGGAAATGCCAAATAATAATAAAAAACAATCTTCCCATCCAAAACAATCCCTGATCAACAAAACATGAGAACAGGAATGTAGAAACATCGCGAGCAAATGATTCGCAATAAAAGCAATCCCAGAGTTTTTTTTATGACATATTTTTTTAAACAAATAAAACATGATTTTAATGGCTGTGCTCTTATGAAGACAGTCAGAACTAGAATCATCAGAGCTTCACACAACACCTGCTGCAG